AGATGCTAGTGCAGGGGAGGAGGGGGGGTGACAGGCTAGTGCAGGGGAGGGCATTTCCCTGGGATGGGGAGTGACAGGTCCTAGGGAGATGCTAGTGCAGGGAGGGGGCATTTCCCTGGGGTGTCAGAAGCGACAGGCCCTGAGAGAGCTGGTCGAGAGGGGAGAACATTTACCTGGGGGAGGGGAGTGTGACAAGCTGTGCATGAAGATATTTATTCTGGGCAGGGCTGTGTATGGAGGATGTTTATTCTGATGAAGAGGTGAGCCACTCTCACCTGCGTACTTGTGCATGAGGTAAGAGTAATATGTACCTGGACATGGGGGTAGGAGGTGCCAGGTCTTGCAGGGAGATGCTTACCTTGTGAATGGGGAGATGCTTACCAGGGCACGAGTGCATAGGGGGAGTGACAGCACACCACAGGATGATGCTTGTCCAGCAAAGGGTTATTTACCAATCAGGAACTCCTGCCTAGGTAATCACGGACCCTGCAGGATGATGCTTATTCTGTGTGGGGCATTTACATGGGCAGAGGGATGGTGTATGTGTAGATGACCAACTGTGTAGGAACATAAGAACGACCATACTGGGTCAGGCCAATGGTCATCCTAGCCCAGTATGTTGTCTCTGATGGTGGCCTATGCCAGGTGCTTCAGTGGGTGTGAACAGAATGGCAGTTTCGAGTGATCCATCCCGTTTCATCCAGTCCCAGCTTCTGGAAGTTGGAAGTTTAAGGGCACCCAGAGCATGAGGTTGCATTCCTGACCATCTTGGCTAATAACTGTTGATAAGACCTATTCTCTGTGAACTGGTCAACTTCTTTTTTGAACCCAGTTAAACTCTTGGCCTTCACAACATCCCATTGCAATGAGTTCCACAGGTTGACACTGGGCTGTGTGAAGTACTTCTTCATGTTTATTTTAAACCTGCTGCCCCATGGGTGATCCCTAGTTCTTGTGTTATATGGAGGGGCAAAGGTGGGAAGCAGGTTACTTGAGTAGGCATTTCCTGGTGGGGAGTGACACTTACTGCAGGGAGAGTCTTATCCTGTGGACAGGGTGGTATTTACCTGGACATGGGAACAGGAAGAATTGGGAATTTGTGATAGACTTTGCCTGGAAATTTACATGGAGTGGGTTATGTGTCTGATTTGGGAGAGGGAGTGACAGACGTTTCAGGGAAATACTTGGAGGTAGTACTGTCTTTCTGTGCAGGAAAAGCATGGCGTGGGATGGGAGAGACCCTGTATGGAGATGGCTATCTTGAGGTTGGTTATCGGAACTGGACAGGAGGGTTATGGGGGAGGAATAAAAGATTGGACATTGTTCTGAAGGGTGGATATTTGGTGGGATTTATGGGACATAGATGGATAGACACCATAGGGAGCCACTTATCTTGGCAGCAGGGCACTTAACCTGTGCAAGGATTTTCACAGAAGAAGGTAACTACCAATTTATGGTGATGTGTATCTAGGGGATTATATTTTACTGGGGGTGGGGGTCTACTTATGCAAGAAGGACCTTATCCTGTGGGGAGGGGTGGGTCAGTTTACCTGGTCAAAGTTTAAGTAATGTGGCAGACTCTGGAGGAAGATATGTATATAGGGATGAGAGTATTTGCATTTTTCCCCTCTTCAAGGTGAATGGCATACTTCAGGATTTTTGTCTTTGTGAGGGGTGGGTGTGGGTGTTTACCTATTCAGGTGGAGTTGTGTGGCAAGATTATTTTATCTGTTCTTGAGTTGTGTGGGGTGGGCTACGTTTTCCTCAGTCAAGTTGCTGTCCTAGGAGTGCTTGTGAAAATGGGTAGATATGAGGAATGTGAGAATGTTAGGGTGCAAATAATCAAGAAAAACAGTTTACGTTGAAACCTGCAAAGGGCCCTTTCAAAATCTGTTACATAATAAAAGTGTGTGTGTAAAATTATATATAAAATTAATGGGGATTTTTTTAAGTGGTTGAAGACTAGGGATATTTCCAGTTAGAGGAGGCTGTTAGTACAGGTTTCACTGTGTATTCTCTGGGGATGAACAGCAGTAGTGTTTCTCTTAAGTCTTTCCTTTTATTATAAGATCTACCAACTTGTTGTTATGATTGCTGTTTTTGCTTTTTCAGAGTAGCCTGTTGGGGGTGTGCAGCAGACCCATGCACTGTGCAAATGCTTGCTGCTTCTGTATGGGGAAAGGTAGTGTTGTGTCAGTCACTGTACCTACTGTTGTTTTGTTGCTTCTGAGCAATATTAATCTGTGGTGACAATAAAGGTGTATGAAGCTTTGGTGATTTGATAATTTGATCAGTGCTCACTCTTAAGAGATGCAAACTTGTCTCCTCTGTTTTTCTCCAACTGCTGGAAGATGAGGCCAGGTAACTAAGCACTTGTAAGAAAAAGCTGTGGCTAGATGGATAGATCCTAGAAGTGATTGCTTTGTTTTCATACTCTAGTAGTCAGAGCTGGAAAACAGGCTTGCTCTCCCTCTTCATTCTTCAGCAACAGAAGGATCATTCCCTATATTTTCTCCACTCTGATTTCTATGCTGTTGGTCTCAACAACTTGCCTGTTTTATTTTTAAATCGTCCACTGAAAGATGAGTCATGTACAACTTCTCCATTATTTTTGAACATGAGGAAAAATGTTGTAGGAAGGAATTATTTAGTATTTTATTCTGTTACTTACATTGAATGTGCTGCTTGGAAGGACTGTCATAAACTTTATTGGTCTAAGATAGCTTAATACTTTGTTGGTGTATGTGACGATACAGGAGAAGTGTATTTTTTTTTTCCTTCAGGGAAAATTCCCAGCTTTTGATCCTTAGTAGTAATCTTTGCAAGCAACTGTTTTACATCTTTTGTACATTGGTGTTGTGATGTTCAGAAAAGTCTAAAGACTCTCTTGGAAACTGCATTTTAAAAACCGTATTTAGCGGCAACATATGAGTAGTTTATTTATCCGACATTATTCTCTAAACTCATAAAGAAACAGGTCCAAGAAGAAGACAAGTTGAATAGCTAGAAGAAAAGGATAAATAAGAAAAGAATGGATGTCAAATCTCTGCTCTTTGTAATTTAGCTTGGCAGAGAAGTTGAATTACCTCTTTAATTCTTTTGTGCAGGCTAATAAAGTTTCCATGTGATAGCAATCACAAAAAGGCTAAATTGGCTGCCAGTGTTGCTTTGTGCAGTGTGCTGTCAGCTGAGTCTTTAGTTAATGATTTGAACCTGCTCTACAGGTAGGTTTGTGCTTTTCTTGGTCAGGGTATTTTGAAGTATTAATGAATGTCTGTACTGCTGTATAGACTGTTGAATTGTGTGACAGGAATGATAATAAATCAATGCCTTGTTGGTTTGTTATTTGTTTGAGCATCCAGCACTCATTTTGACTTCATTCAGTGGTGGGTGCTGATCACCTCTGAAAAGCAGGCTACCAGTCACTAAACAAAACTTTCAGAAATAGCTTTTTTTCTGTTTGAATACTTAGGCTCTAACAATATTCATGTCTGTAAGATGCTTTGAAGAAAGTACTATTATATAGAATATTGATACATAGGAATCCCCTTTAAGACTGCTTAATGTTAGTGTTTCAATGATTTATATAGAATCATAGAATATAAATGCCTTGAACTGAAAAATAAAGTATAATAGCAAATGAAATTGATGTTTCTCAGTCAGACAGCTTCTGTTGATAGTATTCCCTGATAAGGGAAAACTTTCCATTCAATATGACTGACTGAAATTGTAATTTCAGCAGTCAGGGTTAGAATGCAGGAGTCACTTGCTTCTGTGCTTAATCAGTTAGATACACTGTCTCTTTCCTTGTGGCCAGACTGAGATTACATTGGCTCTCATTAGAGGAACCTGCTCAGCTGCAGGATGTAGGTTCTGAGAGATCTTGCTGTAGAGAGGTTAGTACCATCAGTAGCAGTGCTGTCCCCCACACTGACAAACCAATTTGGGACCGCCACAAAAAAATTAGAAACTTGTGGCTATAGCTTCCACAGATCCCAAAGGCTGGACATAAGTCATTCTATGTGGGGATCTCTGAATAACCCATGGAAAAATCAGTGCCATACTTTAAGCCCTAATAATCAGTTACATTTTCAAGGCTGTTACTTAAAGGAAAAGAGCTAGAAACCAACCTTTTAAAAATGAGAGGTGAGATTAGCAGTGACACTTTGGTGTTGCTCAAATGGGATAGAGGACAGGAGCCTGAGTTTGGATTCTAAA